CTCATTAATATATGAGTACCATGGACATAACAGAGTATACTGTCTCGCCCATGATACCCCCCATGCGTTGCCATTCCTGAGGACTCAGGTGTTATTCCTCTGTACCCAGTAAATTCACAACAATTTGATTTTCGACAAGCTGTAAAATTTGAATTTTTTTATATCCCTTAATTCTTGTGACTAGTGTATTTACATATTCAAATAATAATTTAATACGCACATAATTAAACTAATTTGACAAACTTTCTATCTAAAGAGAAACCTTTCAGCGAGTTAGTCAAATTCGCACTTGACCGGTTTTTTTTAGTTGTAAATACTTTCTACCAGATTTTCTGTAAAAGCTTATTGTTAGCGATAAAGTCGTCTTTTAAAAAGCACACTTTTTTTAAATATTCATTTTATTATTTTTAGTGCGCAATAAAGAGATGTTTCTTTTTTCAAAATTCTCATTTCCCTTATTAAGGTGGATTATTATTTCTGTGCCTCTAGTGAGAAAAAAGGGTACAACTTGAGTTATATCCAAGTTGTACCCTTTTTTCAGACTATTTCAAATAAGCTAATTTTTCTCTTTATGATGTGCAAAAACATGAAGATATTTTTATAAACAACGCAAATATATACGTGTAAATAAGGTACAACTATTAAAATATATTTATTATAAGAGACTGAATTTAAATTATAAAATATTAAATATATTATATTAAATCTATAAAATGTTATAAAAATAGTACCAAAATCACTTAGTCTCAAACATCAAATATGTTATCCTTTTAATTTTATTTCTTTATATTGGTTCAATTCAATTCATGGCCTATTACATGATTAAGTAAGGATTATTATGTCAGAAAACGTTATTACGAGTGTATAAATATTAAAATTTGTTAGATTTTTCTATACCAATTTCTCTTCCAAATAACATAAAAATCATTTTATTGGACGTCAAATTGGGACTACATTCACGTGATAATTGCAGTACGAGTACGTTGAACTATTTAATAGGGTACAATTTCATCATTTCAAAACAAAAACAATTTCATACGAAAAAAATACTATGAAAGCAATTATTAGCGTTTTTAATTATCATCTAATAAATAATACACACTAAGTTTAAAAAAACACAAATAGATGTTTGTTTCTCCTAAGAAGTAGGGACTTTGTATGCTTTCTCACTAGAAGTGCAGATTTATTATATCGAAGCTGCAAATGCAAAACGTACTAAGTGCCATTATGGCTGATTTAGTTAGTGGTAAGTATTGGCAAAATCCCCTTATGGGAAAGGCATATGTTTAGCAGTGGACAGACATTCACTACACTACCTATTATTACTTATTTAAAATTTTTGTTGTTTCGTATTTTTATTCTTCGCTAAATTTCGCTTTTGTAAAATTTGCTTTTATAAATTTTTGTTTTATATACGAGTACTTATGTTCTATATTGTGGTTTTATTTTATTACTATGTCAATATAGTGGATAGTTGAATAAACTATAAAATACCACACATCTGTTCTATGTTAAATAAATTCAACTGCTGGTTAAATAGTTAACGATAACGCAATATATAAACTATATATCACTAATAAATTAATAAACTTAGTACTAACGATGTCGTATTAGAAAGGTACTTTGGTATAATATAGATAATAGACCAATTGTGGGCGATATTACTAATCAAATGTAGACCAATACTGGCCAAGTCCTATTATACGATCGATATTATTTCTCGATAAGTATCAAAAATAAAATTAATGGCTGGCCTTGTTATATAGTCTACTCAAACAAGTTTGTTTTACAACAAAAATACAGCGTTACGAAAACCGTAGCGCGATATTTGGTTTCAATTGTTGGCTCAATTAATATATTTATTTTTACATTTTATTGCGCCATATACAAAATTTAAAGAGTAAATATAATATAATAAATATAGAACAATATTTTTTTTTTATTAATACCTTTGAGCATTATATCGGCCGTTATTGCCCATTACTGAACAATAATCTTTCACTATTGGGTGGTTTTTCCAATAAAGGCTACACTTGGCAGGTGGGTTGGCAACCGCAGTTAGATTTTGCGGATGTTTTCAAAAAGACACTCTCTCTCTTAAGACACCCACAGGACAGGAAGGGGTGGCTCATTCTATGCCGAGACCACGCGGCAGTTTACTATACAAACTGTATAGATAACCATGAAGTTATTAACTGCGTAGTTAATTGTGGTCGTACTTTTAAGACTGACGTTGCATATATAAATAAATATTAAGGACATACAAGTATTTTGAATAATAGCATAATAGTCGATATCGTGAAGTTTAAACGAAAAGTCTAAAAGCAACATCGAATCTTACAAAAAATAAAGCATTGTAAATAATTAATGAAGCGCTTTTAACTAAAACTTCACTAGTTATAGATGAAATTTCCAGTCTCCATTTTGGCACTCTTTTTTTCTCTTGTAGTAAGATTGGACCAACAGAAATAAATTAAAATAAATATGCAGTCAATTGTACTCCCAGACTTATTTGGCGACTGCTTACGTATTACTGAATTAGCAGTCGTCACACATCTCTACTGTAAATAACTCTATAATGAATGAATTACACAGTTAGCAGTCGCCAAATACCTCTAGTAATCCCATAGTGGATTAGTGCACACATATATGGATTAGTGTACACATATATTTATATTTCTGTGTATTTGAATTAAACTTTTGCCATATTTGATTTGAAATATGCATACTGTTATCTTTCGGATTAATTTGTAGATTAAGATTAAGAAAATATAATTAATTAAAATTTGGATTGTTAAGGGTGTTTTCCATGATCAGGAACTTAATTTCTTCAATTTTAAATTAACAAATAGGTTTTTTTATGTATTAGTTCTAAGTATTTTATGTATTAGTTCAAATCTATTTGAACATGACTTTAATGGTATAGAAAGAAGGTATTTCACTATTTTGTTAAAATTTTCAACGATATTAACTCAAGAATATTTAAAATAAATTCCAAATTTAAATTAGATAGTATTGAGACATAGTGCTCGAAGGCAGATGGATGGATAAATGAAGTTGCACCCATTATGTAAAAATACTTATTCCTATTAAATAGTTTAGGAGACTTCGGAGACATATAATGCTACTTAGCGTGAATCAAAATAGTTTTTGTACTTAAATATTAAAATTTGTGACAACTAATAATAGTAATATATAGTTTAATTTTCATAAATACATACTTGCAATAAATAGAGGCTAATTGTATGAGATTTTAATATTGTAGACAGCGCATGAAGCAATTTATACCTACTTATCTACGAAATTATAAAATCCTATTTACTCTATTGGGATATTGAAATTTGATACATTTCATATTATAAGCAATACCGGGACTACTGAGAACGGGAGGGGGGAGGGGGGGTTAAGATTATGTCCTTTAAAGTCGACACGGTCTTCATTTTATGATGAATGGTAGTGTCATCAACATATAAAGATACTTATAAATTACATACATTACATTATATTACTATTAATAAGAATTGGTCATTATAAAGTCTGACTTATACACTCATTACTCTACACTACAGACACACTCATACTACAGACATTATAAACTCAACTTTTTTCGAAAAAAATGAAGTATTTAAAAGAAATATAGCCAGTGTCACCCGGGATGATGTAAGGATTCGAACAAAATTCCATTTTCCATCTAGATTTAGGCATTTAGAAGTAATGATAGAATATAGAAACACACATGCATACATACATGAACCTTGAAAACATTACACTGTTTCTCCGAGCAATCGTGTATTAAGATTTGTTTTAAATATGCATTATTTATAAAGATGCTGAAAGACTACACGCTGCAAGATCCCAGGTGTGTAACTGTAAATGTATTCTAATGCTTGAAGCGGAAATTATGTCGAGTTCCTTGAACATATGTTACTAATATATGGTAGGATTTCGCAGAAATTAGATACCACTGGGTATTTTATGCTTTTATTATAAAAGTACAAGATTAGAAATTCCCTAATAATACTACTCGTATTATGTGGCTTCGACCGATTAATTTATCACTTTCCCGTGGTAATTTTGAAAAATCCTTTCTAAGTGTTTTAGCGAGCTTTAGGGGATTTTTAAAATTGCTGAGTTATTATGAAAACCTGTAGGAAAATTTTACACTTCCATGTCGATTGGTTGACGTTGGTAGGCTATGCGTTGTCTAACAGACAATGGGATATTTTTTTAATTACCTATATATAAAGATGTTATAGGTAGGTACTTAAAATATAAACATTTTTAATTTCTGGTGCATTTATATTTTGCATTCTATGTTAAACAATACCTAACTAGTTTTGCATAAACAAAATCTCATATTCGATTCTCAGATTGATAAATTTACAAAACAAATATTTTTAAGTGAACTAAATTGACTCCGGCCTTGTTAATATTTTCCAGTGTTTATTGTATGCTTCCTTAAAGTATATTGTTTTTGAATTTGATAATAAGACAAGTATTTTCATTGTACGATACTTATTTAAGTACATTTGACGTATAATTCGATACAATAATTAATTCAATATCAATTCATAGTGTCAATGTCTGTGTCGACTTTAATTGTGTTTGTTAATCTATTATACAGAAACGCATGGTTCTCGTTTCATATGTTAATCAGTCATTACCCTAAGACTATAAATTTATACAGAGTAATGTAGACAGATATAATGTTTCAGAAACAATGGTAAAAATAAGAAAAATATGAAGAAGGAAACAAAACAGCCAAGTTAATAATGGAAAAAAACATTGGACAATAAAATTTCAGATTCTCATGTGCCCGACGAGCGCAAAGTTTGATAATAATAAACATTATAATCTGAACGCAAAAGCAAATCATCATAAAAATTGTTTGTAAAGTAAGTCCGAGGCATTATGGAGCCGCGCGCAACTCATAAAAGTTTAAGCAAGCGATTTAATAAAAGAAAAGTACAGCTGAAGTAAGAATTATTGCACGGAATCACCATTTAGTTGAAGTTACAATAACGACCTGTTGAAACGGCCGTCGCTTGTTGCTTCTCACTCTAGCCCCCCGGGGGAGGTATTTGCGTCTCACTTGCTTCCGAAGGTAGCGTGCGAGGCGTCCGCGCGAGCCGGCACTTGGGTACTCACTGGTTGCCCTGCGATCTATACGCGACTACGCCCCCACAGAGTACGATTCTCGAATAAGTAGGACGGTAAATAGCAACGGACACCTGCCCTTAGAATGACGCACGCACCCACATAAATGCTCATAGTCTTCTCTCCTGTGATAAATCGGATCTTAAACGGCGAGACATTAAAGTTTATCTGTCACCATGAGATTAATGAAAGGGCAAAGTATCCGCCTTTCAGCGGGCCCTTATTACAGTTTCTAATGTGGAAGTATCTACTTAAAGTTGCGAACTGAGTATGAACAGTTTAAGGAAATTTAACACATAAGATGTTTGCGTTGAGTTTAACATTTAACAATGTTGAAGGATTCCCAAATTTAACTTAGAAGAAATTATGTTTAATGATATACTGAAAACATTGATTATAGTAGTCTTCCAGTCTTTCATGTCGCAATAAGGAAGATATCAAACTGAAAAGTCCAGGATTCGAGTTCGAGTCCTGCAGTAGAAACAAATTTTCCAATCTAATATTTCCAAGTAAAAAATATAATAATTTAGTATAAAATACTGATAATTCCAAGGCGATTAAACACCTACTGTAACAATATGGCAATACAGTTATTATAATATTAAGAAGAATAAATTTCAATAAATGCTAACAATTATCGGAATCAATATTTTAAACAAAATTATTATCATATAATAAGGTTAGAGAATAGGTATCTAACAGGTAAATTTTGCCTCACAAAAACAAAATACGAACTTTAATTGTATTTTTTCACAATTGAATGAATTTGATTTAAAAACCATACTACTGAACCGGTTTTGATGATATTTTTACGGGATCAATCTAAAAGTATATCCTTTCAATAAAAAAAAAAAACACAAATCTGTTTATAAAGGATGGAGTTCTAAGATAACAAACATAAAATAAATACAATTAAATTGAGAACCTCTTATATAGTTGGTTAAAAATTAAATTATTATAAGTATTACTCCAGGCTATTATGTTTTTAATATTGATAATAGGATATGACGCAGAAAAGCTCTACGTAAGCGTAGAATGCACTTAGTAGGTCCACATGAGTTATATTTAAACGTTAATTTAAAAAATCCACTTGTTTAAACTAACTATTATAAAGAGGAAAAAATTGAATTTTCATTTATAATGGATACACCCAAAAATACTTAACTAATAAAAAAAAATTAAAACTTACAGAAAGATATATTACAAGTATATGAGACATTGACTATATTTTATAAAAAAAAATAGTAAAGAATCGGGACGGGACGTTAGTATAAGACAGTGGAAATTTTTTTTTATTGCATATCTTAGCTTCGTCGTATGGTTCCGGTATATATCAGGCCACCCCGTTTCTTTCCCGTGGGTGTGATAAGAGACAACTAAGGGAACATAATAATAGAGGGATGTGTAGCAGCCTCCCTCTTAGAACATCACGTAAGCCTAACTGCGATTGCCAACTCGCCTGTCAAGCGTTGCAACTACTGGCAACACCCCTCAAAAGACTAGTATAATATGATATGATAATATCTTAAATTAACAATAAGTTATTATATTAAATTTTAATAAAAAGTAGCAAATACTTACAGACCGTAGACTCTGCGTAGCAGTTCTATAAACCAAGCAGTATTTAAACTAGATTATATTAAAAGTATTTATAAATTGCATATCTAAAAAAATAGATAGATAGATAAACACTATATTTGAGATATTTATGACACACGTTAACAAATGAGTTCATACAAAATATTAATTACACATTTTTTTTAATATAAAACAAAAGATAAAATACAAAAATATATTTTCACTATGTGTCACTTTCGCAGTGACCTAAATAGGCTCAGTGATAGTTTTGTTTAAAAGCAAAGCAAAGTACTACAGTAAAATAAGTACAGCAATCCAAAAATGTAATACTGGAAGCATAATTTGGTACTTAGCACATAGGATACTTTATATACTAGATTCACACTGTTACAATAATTGCATATAGCTAGTACAATATAAATGTACTCGTAACTAAAGCATTTATGAATTTCAAATCTGTAAATAATAAACAAGTCGTGACATAAAATTTTAAGACGCGACATAATGTAGGGAATGCTACGAGTCCGTAGGCTACGCGTAGCAGGTCTACACAACGAGCAGAATTTAAACCACCATTTAATATCAGGTCATTATTATCTGACTACGGGAGAAGAAAGGGGTAATATTACCAACCAACCTCGAAAAGGCGGTCCTCAATTCGGTTGTATTTTTTTATGTTTGTTACTTCATAACTCTGTCACTTGTAAACTGATTAGGAAAATTCTTTTTAACTGAAATTTTAATTAAAATTGGTTCAATAGTTTAGTTTTAAAATTAAAATAATTGGTTTGGCCACAATTAAAGTTGGTTTTTTGTGGAACATAATTCATTTATTAAGATGCAAATATATAGATACGAATATATATATGTCACGAATTTTTTGTGTAAAGTGAAGCTACTTTTTTATATAACTTGGAATGTCCAACAATCTTATATAAATAATAACCATTACTATTGTAGTCACAACATTTTTATTTACGAGGTCTCCATTTTTGAATCTCTTCCTCCTTTTTCAATCGAATTCAAAAAGAAGATGGTCAATTCGATTGTATTTTTTTACGTTTGTTACCTTATAATTTCGTTAGATCTAAACCGATTTAGAAATTTTTATTTTTATCTGTTATAATACCCTTACAGATGAGCGCCATAGAAATATTACAAAGATCAGTTTAATAGTTTAGTTTTTAGTTCAAAATAACTTGTTTTGTCACAATTGATGTACCATTTTTTTATGGAACACAATCTATAATTATCAATATAATAGTAAATTGATTTTTATTATTTTTTGCACTACAAATTAATTTACTGAATTATTCGTGACAATTCTACTGAATGAGGGAAAATGAAATACATTTTGTCGGTATGGGTGCTTTCACAAAAAAGGTAAATGAGTATCACTTCCACCCGGAATATTTATTCTTATATCTAAATGTTTTTCAAAAATCCAGACGTATAATGAAACCATGTATGTATATACATACATACAGTCGGCAAACATTAGCCTTTCTTTAACAGTCGGGTAATAAATTTACTTTACCGTCAACAGAGGTTTTGTTTTATGCAGTAGGTACCTACATAAACTGAGAGGTTTATGTACAGTTGGACTGGCGAACTGAGGGGCCGTACAATAAAAAATTTAAAACCGTCATAAAATAACGGATTTTAATTTATATAATAGCAAACAAAAGTAATCATTGCTTAAGAATATATGCTGGTTTTGCAGTTTTATAAATATTTGTGTAACCGTTTTTCTACAACAATTTTCAATGTTTCACCGCATAATTACGTTTGTAAAAAAGTTGAATGGGAGAAAATGCTATATAGCATTATATCTGCCTTTTGTACTTAATTTTTTTTTTTTGTAAAATGGTCAATAAAGAATAAACAAATAAATAAGGTATAATATATTACATATAAGTAAGCAGTTATCAGTATAGGCGGTATGTCATCATCATCATCATCGTTATATCAGTTCATTGCTGAATATAAGCCTACCCCTTGGGGATTTTGCCAGTAGTTGCTATGCTTGGCAGGAGGATTTCACGATTTCGTACTCCACAAGGCAATTTCCTTCGACATGGAAGACTACCCTTGTACATCCTGTACCTAAAAAGGGCGATAAGTCGGACCCTTCAAATTACAGGCCGATAGCGATCGCCTCCCTTCTCTCTAAGGTGATGGAGCGTATAATTAACGCACAGCTTTTGAGATACCTAGAGAATCACGATTTATTGAGTGACCGCCAATACGGCTTTCGCCATAGTCGCTCAACTGGTGACCTCTTGGTACATCTTACGCACCGATGGGCGTCAGCCATTGAGAGTCAGAGTGAGGCGCTCGCTGTTAATCTTGATATTGCAAAAGCTTTTGACCGGATCTGGCATCGGGGTCTTCTATCGAAATTGCCCTACTATGGACTTCCCGACAGCCTTTGCGAATGGGTTGCCAGTTTTTTTGTCCGGCAGATGCATAAAAACCGCTGTTGATGGTTGCTGCTCCGAAAGCATGGACATTAACGCTGACGTCCCGCAGGGCTCTGTGCTATCCCCGACGTTGTTCTTGCTGCATATTAATGATATGTTGTCCTTAGGTGACATTCATTGTTATGCGGATGACAGCACTGGGGATGCCCATTATACGGGTCGTACCAATGTCCCTCGTTCCATCGTGGAGGACAATCGTGAACAGCTTGTGTCTAAAATCGAGAGAACGTTAACTAGAGTCTCCGATTGGGGCAGACAAAACTTAGTCCAATTTAACCCCGCTAAGACACAAGCTTGCGCGTTCACCGCTAAGAAAACCCCATTTGCTCTGGCTCCACAGATCCAAGGCACGTCTGTTACCATCTCTAAAAGCATTGGGATCCTTGGTGTCGACATCTCTAGTGATGTACAGTTCCGAGGCCACCTCGAAGATAGGGTGAAGCTGGCATCTAAAAAACTCGGTGTGCTCAATAGAGCGAAGCATTACTTCACGCCGGATCAGCGATTAATACTGTACAAATCGCAATTCCGGCCCCACATGGAGTATTGCTGTCACTTATGGGCCGGAGCACCTAAATACCAGCTTGAACCTTTCGACTCGTTGCAACGACGAGCTATGAGAATTGTCGATGATCCCAGGCTCACAAGCGGTATCGAACCCTTAAATCTTAGGAGAGATTTTGCCTCACTCTGCGTGTTCTACCGCCTGTACGATGGATTGTGCTCAGAGGAATTGTTCAATATGATGCCCACAGCCACTTTCTACCATCGTATGGCTCGCCATTGACAGGGAGTTCATCCTCATGTCCTACAGCCTCAATGGTCGCGTACTGCGCGGTTTCAGAGATGTTTCCTCCAACGAACACTCAGGTTGTGGAATGAGCTCCCTGCCGAGATTTTCCCAAGAGACTACAGCA